GCCTAGTAATGGCAAAACAGCACTTCTGTTGTCATGTTGTCTGTTTTAGCCTGTCAGAGAGACATCACTATTCACATTATCGATGGCTCCGTTCTATTCAAGTGTAACACATAACTAGACAGCAAGCCAGCATGCACAATGCAACTAAAGCAGCTAAATGGAATTCAGGTATCAGCAATTTGGTTTTTTACACCTTTGTTGTTCTCAGTGGTAGAAAGTACATTTTGTCATGTGCTGTACTTCAGTACAGTTTTGCGGTGCTTTATTTGAGTACTTCCACTTCCATTCCACTGCAGTTCAGAGGAAAAGACTTTTACTCCACTGTATTTATTTTACGCCTTAAGTTTTTACACAATGGATAATGTGGTAGGTATTTTAAGATTAAACCAGCAGTTTCAATCTTTTTTGCTTTTGAAGTCTTACAAAATCCATTGTGGGTCACATTAAGTTGTCGTTAAGCTCCACCAAACAGTGATTTATTTTTTTTTCAATCTAAACTTCTCATATAGCTTCATTTCATTAAGTGTTCAAATTGTCCAATTTCTCACCAAAATGAAAGATTACAGAAAAAGCCCAATAAGTGAAAACCTTTTTTTTTCTTTTCTGTCCCATTATTCATCCGACAAGCTATGAGAATGATCTGCTGTCTCTGGACAATTGTATTTATTTATTTATTTTAAGTATTTTTAACTACCTGCAGCAGCTACAACACTTCCATGCTGCTGACAAATTGATTCTTCACTATTGATAACCTGATGTTACATGTAATAAAGATTAAGTCAGACTGACCAATTCAGGACATTTATTTGAATATTTGAACTACATACATAACTGCTAAAACTCATGGTGTATGATTACATTGCTGTATTGATCATTTTACTTCAGTAAAGGATCTGAATACTTCCTCCATCACTGGTTGTTCAAACTGTGACATCAAAATATAATTTTGTGAAAAATGCCAATTGTTACTTACACATGGTTGACGTTGAACTAGTTGGAAATGGATTTTTTACATTTTTTGGATGATGTCTTAAGGTGGAACTCAAACGATTAGTAAGTCATCATTAGTCATCAGGTAACTACACATTGGCTGGTTACAGCAGATTTGCTGCTATTTCTGTTTTTATTTTTATAACTCTGTTGTCCGGACAATAAGAGACATTTGTGAATGTCATGTTTGGCTTTAAGATATTTTAATAGGCATTTTCCACTGTTTTCTGGGCCATTTCTAAACCTCACAGTTAACGAAATAATTAAGAACAGTAGCCATAGATTGTAGTTTATTCATACATAAGCTTAAGATGTCAGCTAACACTGTGAGTCTCTATATTTAATATTTATGAGTAGCAGCAACAGCTAATTTTACATAACATGCTATACCATAGCTGTAATGTGCAGTATTTGCAATCAAAGTTAACTTCTCTTATAAATACATTTTTTATATATTAACATCATCTTTATCATATTATTCTGTTTATACACAAACATCCAGATAACAGGAAAAAGCTGAACATCTGCGTACAACAGCAGTTAGTTACACACCGTTTATTAAATGTTTGTTTGCAGCTTATAAAAGATAAATGGTGTGATTTAAAGTGCATTGTTACTCATAAGGTTTTATGTCAGTCCTTAGCACTGGGTGGCAGTACAACCTCATCTTGACTGGGATTCTTTGGGAACAGATCTGTGAATCCTGCTGCAGGAGCCAAAGGGGTATAAAGTAAAGCACCAACCAGTGTTGACAAATGACTGTAAAAGCACTGCTTCCAGTTTACATAAGAACTAGTTATGCTACAGTTAGTGGTGTTATGTGTCCACAAACATGTGTATCTGTATTGGCTTTTGCTTTTGACTGAACAAAAAAATAATTAAAAGTTCCCAAAAGTCAGAGAAGGTCTACAGGAAGATTGTCACGACTAACAGTCTGACTGTCCTTCATGTGCCGTCTGAAGCTAGAAGTTTGCATCTGTTTACAGATTCATTTTCAGCACAGCAGCCATCTGAGTTTGTGTCATGTAAGAGATAACTGTATTTTGTAATATTTTCAACATCAGGCTTATATCCGTCAAACTTTATTATGGAGCATTTTTATACAAATGGAATGTAACACAAAGTGCTTTACAGAACAAAAAATTAAAATGCAACAATTAAAACAGTGCAGAGACCAACCAATACAGTTGAGTTTTCAAGCAACTGTAGTTCTTAGTTATGTTTCTAACATGAAGCTCAAAAGTAAGAAATATGTAGTCAAAGGTGACTGTAAGGGTTTTCACTTGTTGACAAGGGTTTAATGTCACTTCCTGCAGTTTAGCAATGAGTTTCTTTCTTTTTAAGTTGCAATTTGATAAATTATATGTAACGTAAATTATCTCTTTCATGCATGACTTATTGAAAGAAAGAAAGAAAGAAAGAAAGAAAGAAAGAAAGAAAGAAAGAAAGAAAGAAAGAAAGAAAGAAGTTAGATATAAGGTATTTTTGTACTCAAACAAAACTTAAAACATGTACAATTGAACACAATGCATTCGTGGTTTAAGATGCACTTGAAAACAAAAACTACAGTTTAAAAGTTGTTCAAATTTTACTAAGATATGCATATCAATATAAAACCTCCCCAGTTAATTATTCGCTCTGGTGCACTGTTTTTTTTGATATTACAACTTTTATGAAACTTTACACTTAGTGTGCACAATAGACAAACAATAAACACCCAAAAGGTTAAATAAAGATATATTTTAATTACTTAGTTCGTCATTATGCTCATAAATAGATTTGATGTTGCTGAAAATTTTCTTTTCTCCTCAATTCATCTGTGTGATTTCCTGTTCATTTAGAAACTGTCAATGCCATGTTTTTTCACATCAGTGAGCATGAAAGTAGCAGCCACTACAAATTTAATTAACACGGTCGTCAGGGCAACGCTACAGTCGCAACTGGTCTCCCAGCGATTGTCCCATTCTAGAATGTTCCCACCGTCGTCTGGGCGACTGTGCTCAGAATGTTAATGACTCTCTGCAGCGCTGCTATGGCAACCAGAGGGCTGCTTTCCAGCTCATGCCAAAAAGTGTGCGAGCAGAGCGGCGAGTGACTACCGAGGGGTTTGTTTGCAGCACTGAGAGTTTGGGGAGGGGGGCTGCGCTGTGTCATGACTGGTTTTCACAGGTGGTAAAATCTGCAGAGGTGCCAGACTTCCTCTTCCTGCTCCTGCTGCTGCTATTTATACACCATCTGCACGTGCTCACATTCAAGGTTGATGGAGAGATTGCACAGACCGGTGTCTGAATACAGGATGTTACATCATGAGCGGCAGAGAGGTTGCCCTCTTCTGGACTTGGATGGGAACTAATACTTGTGTGTGTGGGTGTGCATGTGTGTGAGGAGAGGGCCTGCAGGCTCAGCTCCTCTCCACCCATGAAGGGCAAACACAGTCACACACATGCACCGACACACAGTTGGTGGTTTCGCAGCTCGGACAGGGAAGCCTCCTGCTGTAGGGGAAAGCCGGGGAAACTCAGCGCTGTGATTTCAGCAGGATGAACAGCAGGGGAGTCTGGAGAAGATGACACAGACTGACAGACCCTCCCTCTTTCTCTACTGGATGGTAGGGCCCACAGATTTATTACACTAATATCTATGATATTAATGCTGTTTTATTCCTAAATTGTGTGAGATTGATGTACGTTTCTGCTGCACTTCTTACGAACTTGTGTTACTTTTATGAAATGTCAAAATGTGTCTATTAAGGATGTCGGCTATTCTGTTCATACAGCCTCAGTGGTGGTTTTTTTAAAGTCTGAAACTGTCCTCAGCGCACCGCTTCATCTGTCTTTCAGGAATCCAACACATATCCAACACCATTCCAGACTTCTTCTGAAGAGATTTAGCCTTCGAGGTTTTCCAGGTCTATCCAGTGTAAGGTGACACCGGTGTAGGGACACTTTATAATCATCCTGTCATCAGCTAAGACTCTAAGCTGCTTGCATTAACACATTCCTCACAAACACACACATGTGACAGTGTCAAAGCCTTTTCTCAGGGGCTAAGTTCTGCTTTCGATATTAACTTGGACTTTAAGCATTTACGCATTATTGTTAAGCATAAATATAACAAGCTAAGGTGAGTGGAAACTCCTCATAAACTATTTTAGTCACACTGTGCTGACAACACTGTGAAGTACAACAGAGACATTAAAAGTGACACTTTCAAACTTAAAGAATCTTGAATAGAAATGCATGAAAGAACAGCATCCAGCTAATTATGAAGTCTAGTGTTGTGAAATTAGGTTTAGTAGAGGTATAACTTGCTGAGAAAAAAGCTTTTAAAACTTAGTTACCAAAGTGTTCTGTATCAGATTTGCCTGCTGGTTCTATACATGCTGTTGTTGTGTCCCTCTGATGATAAAAACTGCTTTTTTAATTCTCTTGCCATATGGGCTGACTTTCAGTTGTTGCTAATTTGTCAAGACTATTGACTTCTTCTTAGACTGTCTGATAGGCTTGTTGGTCCTGGTAGACAAATTCTTAGTTATGATTTTTTTTAATGTTGTAATCAAAAGAAACAACTTACAAGTTGGTAGCACTGCAATCTACCTTCAAGTTTCTATTCTCTTCTTATTTTTTTTACCTATTGGGCATATCCAAATAGAAACTCTTATATCAAAAAAACTGTAAGGCGAAAATGCTTGTATGAGACTTCCTTTGAAATATAACACGTTGTAGTTTCTGGAAATGTGTGTGTTTAGCATGTGGATAGAACAGAACTACTACGTCAGTTCTGACAAAAAGTCATTTTGTGTATAATAAGTCTTATTTTGATATCAATACTTATTTAAGACACAACTTTGTAAATCACCCACACAACTTCTACATTTTGTGAAATGAAATTCCGGACCTCTAGACTTAACATTATACATGTGAAATGATCTGAACTGTTTAATACACCGTGGTCTTCTTCCCTTCAGGCAACCTGCACGGTTGTGTTGCTGTTTTGTGCACTGAGGCATCATGGGAAACATCGTCCAATGCTGCCACACTCTGTCAAACTACTTCAGGTGTAAGGATGCACCGGCCCAGGGCGAGGCGGAAAGATCGCCTCTGCTGTCCAGCGATGAGAGCGAGTGTGAATCTCCGAGTCTGCCGGACGACTTGGAGGACGACCTGTTGACCGTCTCCACTGGCATAACGAACCCGGCCTTGGAACCGGAGCACTTCCTGTTTCCTGACATCATCCTGAGCAGCAACCCGGGAGGTGAAGTGACTCTGGTGGAGCCGATGGTGTGTCTGCTGGTGTCTGAGGAGGAAGAGGGGGCGTGTGAGGCGGTGAGGGTGGATGAGGAAGGGCAGGAGAGGAGGGGGAGAGACAGGGGCTACTCTGAGGTTGAAACCCAGACCGAAGCTGAGACACAGATCGGGACAGGGGTGCAGACACAGACCGAGTCGCAGGCAGAAGTTCAGACGCAAACAGAAATACTCGAATGCAGTAATGAGACTAAGGAGAGAGAAGTTAACGCACTGACCAGCAACGCACAGGGGACGGATGTGGATTATTGGGAAGAACATGAAATACTCAGAGAGGTGGATATGTTTTTGGAGGCACAAATGTCACAGGACAGACACTCAGAAGTCCACACTAAAGAGGGGAAAATGATCTCTGGAACCTGCTCTGACACAAACATTTTGACAGAAATGCAAATATTACAACCAGAACAAAACACTGAGCTAATAAAGGAGTTAAACACTGATGAGGAGAATGTCTTTAGTGTTTTGGAAAATACAGACTTTGCCTGGACAGAGCAAACACATGAGACTGAAAGGGATAATAAACAAAATGAATCAAGGAACTCCTCAGAGACTGAACACAAGGCAAGTAACATGGATGCTGCTGCACAAAAGCAAACAAAACACAGTGACAACAACACAGAAGTTGTGGACAACTTTGACCTCGCTGAGTGCAATGTGGGTCCGACACAACGCAGGAATCAGGATGCTGAACAGATGGGAGCAGCAAGTGTGGAGTCAGATCAGACTGCAAATGAAAAGGACGATATTAATATCTGCCCAGAAGGAAACGTGTCCGAGGACAACACAAATCAGAGCTCACTACATGAAAGTTGTATCCAGTGTCATGAAAAGTCACAGCTGCTAAAGGAGGAAGACGACAGCAAAACAGGTCTGCAGCACATTTCGGAGACAGCTGTGCCACAGGTGGAGGACAGAGAAGGAGCTGAGATGAAGCAAATGACCTTGTTTTTAGTCGACAGATTGTTTCTGGCAGCACCGCATGTCGAAGGTGTGTGGATTTGTGTTCATCTTTGCTTGTCTTTTCGCTATAGAGTATGTTTTTGTGTTTATACTGTCACATTCTAACATGCATATTGCGCAGATGATCATCACAATATCGAGGATATTAAATCAAAAAAGAAAAAGACACAATTCTTTTTGAATTTTCGCACTTCATATAATCAAGACACACCCAATTAGCAGAGAATGTTGCCACAGTATTGGGTAACATTACCTACAAATTCCAATTGTGTTTTAAGAAAGAAAATGTTTCAGTCTAATTTCAAAGAATCTATTTATCATTTCACATAATGCTAATAAAGGTTAAATGCAACATTCAGAGGATGTTTTGAGGGTGTTGTCAGGGCCACAGATTGTTTTTATATGATAACCAAAAAGAAAAAACATTTTAAAACGTTAAAAAAAAGTTTTCAAAATGCTATCAATGCCTCAGATGACATTTTTCTCTTTCTGTGATGTGATGTATTAACAAAGAAGCAAAAATATTCCTCACAATGTTCTTATGGTGTTTTGGGGATGAGTTTTCTTCTGTAAAACATTCCTACAATGCTCAACAATGTTGTACGAAACCAAAAGGAAGAATATTCTCAATGCAACATTTGCAAAACATTTTATGAACATGAGGACAAAAATGCTGATTTTTTTTTTTTTTAAAAGTCTTATAGACATTTGTTGTCCTGCTTTTAAGAAGAACATTCTGGAAATTTTAAAAAAGGACTTTGCAAAATGTTCTCAGGATGTTTTAGAATAAAAAAGTATTCCAGCTGGTTGTATTTCAAAAGAAAAAGGCACCTGGAAAAGAAAAAAAAAGTGTTGGAAAGATAAAACTGGTTAAAAACAAAATGGAAAACAGTAAATGAAGGAGAGTGGAAAGTGAAGCTTAATATCCAAAATTTTTCATTTCCATTTTTGTATATGCTTTAATTTTCTCTTTAGCTACACATTTCAATTTAAGCATTTAATTTGACCATTATATTTTCTGTGTAACCCTACTCAGGGCTTTCATGTTGGACCCCAAGAAAGAATATGTGCAAAATATTTTTTGGTATTCATTATAGACTTTTATGCTGCATTTAATACATTTTCTGACAAGTTGGCATATTTTTGGTTCCAACTGCATGACAAATGTCTTTCTTTTTATATTTAAAAAAAAAATCTTCAAAAATAAAAAAACAATACCTGTCACCTAAATCAAATGGCCCAATGGTCCAAAAGACCCCAAAAGTCCTGAATAGGGTTAAGTGTTTATGTTATATCTCATATAAACCAGCCTCTATGACCTACAGCAACTTTTCACACCTTGTTTTTGTCTTCTGTCAACAGTGCCTCCAAGTCAAACTGAAGAAAGTCCTGAGGATGATCCCTCAGAGAAGTCAGATGATGATAAAAGGCAACAACTCAAAGACATAGTTGAGCTCCAAGAGACGAGCTTCACTGTCAGAATTCAGCCTCCAGGAGCAGAGAGTTTTGAGCTTCAGGTTCTGCAGTAGTGCTATTATTGTTTTCTTAAAGACACGTCACTGTCATGTTCCTCCAGTCCAGCTGTTCATCTCTCCTCCTTTCTCAGGTGTCTGGACAGATGTTGGTGGCGGAGCTGCACCAGGTGTTGATGGATCATGAGGTCACCTGCCACCGCACATGTTTTTCCCTCCAGCTGGGCGGCATCGCGCTCGACGGCCTTGCAGAGCTGCACTCCATCCAGGGCATCCAGGACGGAGCGCTGGTCAAGGTGGTGGAGGGTAACTGACTCCTTTTCTTATTCTTATAGTTCACCTCAGGGTGCAGCCCTGTCAGGATCTGACTGCAGTTCCGTTTTAAACACTGTCACGAGGAGGCTCTTTTTACTCAGAAAATGTTGATCTGTCATGGAAACTCCTAAAATTTCTACAGAAAGTTTGCAGAATTCAACTTCTACAGGAGTCAGACATAAGTTTCAGGTTCACAACATCATCCAAAAGTCTTACTTCAGGTTTAGGTTTAAGTTTAGTAAGATTTGTCGTTTATAAACATCAGCCATTAAAGTGTGTTCTGTATAATTTCTTACTTACTCATAGATCATTTGCAGTTATTACTGGAATCTCACTACAGTAATACTCCATGTTACAGTTCAGTTAGTTACCATATTATAGTTACTACTTTTATTTTGAGGCAGTGCAGCCAGCATTCCCAGGACCACCTTGATAATCTTAGACATGCAATTTAGCCTTATACTTAACACAACAAGTGGACTTCAGGCTGATTTTCACTAATTTTGCTGTCATTTTTGGGTGGAGACGCTTTATTTAAAAGCATTGGAAAAGACCCTGTGTATGTTGGATAGTGTATGGTACATTGGAATAGGGACCAATGCTGATATGTGGTCATCTATAAGGTTTAAAGTTATATTGTTAACTGGCAATTATGCGACAAAGCATGTGAGGCGACTTTGCAGAGTAACACCAAAGTAGTGTAACGAGTAGTGCAATAAATCACTTTCTACAGGGAGTAAATATATAAAGTGATGGGCTACTTTTTGAAAAATAACAAATAATGTGTAATTCATTACTTTTTTTTGACTGATGATCGCAACGCTTCTCATTTTTGTTTCATAAAGGTATTTTACAAACATCCTAAGTTATACCACCTAATAGAATGTGCTCTAACCTTTAACACTGTGTCCAGTTTTAAATGCCAGACCATTAAAGACAAGGCCAAACTCTGCAGAATAGTCAAAATGGGAAGTGCAATATCAAGCTGTAAAAACCTTGCATTATCTTAGCACCTTGACAGAGCAGTTACACGAATGACAAACACACTCTTAAAGAATTCATGCTGTCCCCTAAATCATCATTTTCAGCTTCTACCCTCAAGAAGGCAGTACAGAGTTCCTAGTGTAAAAAAAAAACAACCCAAAAATCAATGAAATAATGCATCTCGCATTCAACACATCAGTTAAAAGGACAACCAATGTAGATGCAAATATTGTGCTGGAACCTATGTAACATGCTCTTTACTTTTTACATTTGTATTAAGTTATTTCAATTTCTAAGCAATTTTTGAACTATGTTGGATCTAATTAAGTATATTTTAATATTTTAACCTTTTGTTTTTGTACCTCTAAACATGGTGGACCCTGCAGTTGTTATGGTTTGATTGTTATGTTCTTTTATGAAATACTGCGTAAGAACAAACTTTCCATTCTTCCAGCACATGTGAGATCAAATTAAACCGTTCATAAGCCTTGTTGATCTTGTTGCAGATTCCTACTCCGTACGCGACGCTCGTCTTCATCTCAGACATGTACGTGACCTTCTGAGGAGCCTCGACCCCGCAGATGCTTACAACGCAGTGAACTGCAGCTCACTATCTTACCTCACTTTTTATACCAGAGACAAAGGTAATGTCACTTTCTCCTGCCTCCTTGCATCAGCCTTTTGTCTGTGAGAAGTCATTCAACACTTTCACTTGCATATTCACCCCTTCAGACAGTGAAAATGTGGGGAAGAGAAAAGCTTCTGAAAGGTCTGTTGACTGCAGCCCTCCAGATTACATCCTCCCTGGATGTAGAGACCGACTGCTGACTCCGCTGCAGCCAGTCAGAGATGACAGAAAGGTGAGAGATCAGCTTTTGTAATTGCAAATTTGACTGATTAAATATGTAACATACGCTAAAACAGTTGTCGAATTCCAGCCTTTACAGTGCCTGCGGGTCCTGACCATGAGCAGCTGGAATCCTCCTCCAGGAAACAGGAAGATGCATGGAGACTTAATGTACCTCAATGTCCTGACTATGGAAGACAGAGAGCTCAACATCACATCCTCTACGCGGGGTTTCTACCTCAACCAGTGAGTGTTGAACTCTTCAGACATTTATGAGTTTGCTTAGCTTTGAATTCTGTAGAGTTTTAATTGTGCTGGCATGAAATTTTGTACCAGTGTTTCCCAGTTTTCTGTCAAAGTTTTACATATACTGAATTCTGTGGAGACATTCAGGTTCCTGGATTGTGTATCCAGTCTTGCCATCTACTGGATTATTTACTATAAAATGTGGTACAGACATAGATGTGCCCTACAGGATGAAATGTAATCACTGTGGTGATCGCTTTACTTCTCATCTAGCACTATCATCAAGTTGCAGCTTATCCATTGTTTTGATTTATTGTCAAATACCTGCAGAAATAATACCATTCACTACCTAAGTGCCGTCACAGAGCTGCTTGCAGGAATTTAGATTCTCTGTCCTGTTTTTTCATATTAATTTCTGTCTTTATTATACTATATTTCTTTCTCTCAGCGTTATCTAAATAAACATGTAAATCAACAACAATTAACTGGATTCAACTCGAGCTAATCTCTGACTGTTCCAGGTCAACTGCCTTCAACTTCAACCCCAAACCTGCAGCTCCCAAAATCCTTTGCCACTCTCTGGTTGAGCTGCTGAATCAAGTCAGCCCTGCTTTTAGGAAAAACTTCACTGCCCTGCAGAAGAAGAGGTGAACAAATACATCAAGTTAGAAAATCATGTTTATACAACAACAGTTTCAATCGAGTTTGACAAGAACATGAAACACAACAAACTTTCCTGTGACTTGCTATGATCCAGAGTTCAGCAGCACCCTTATGAGCGGATCGCAGCACCTTTCCAGGTGTTTGCCTGGGTCGCCCCTCATGGAGACCACAGCCTCGACTGCGTCAGAGCGGAGGAGACTCACACCAGTCGTATGGGCCAGGACGAGCAAACAGCTGGGCAGGTGGCAGACACAAACTGGGAGAAATCATCTAAGTTTGGAATTGCACAGAAATATGACATTGCAATACAGTACAGGGCATATATGCACAAAGCAAAAGTTTTATTTTTCATCTGAGGTGAGCTGATAGTGATGGTGCTGATATTGAGATTGTGTGTTATGACCTCAGAGTCGGGACTGGAATGAGGAGCTGCAGGGATGCAGGGAACTCCCCAGGAGCTGCCTTCAGGAGCGTCTGCATAGACAGAGGAGCATATTCAAGGTAAGAACACAAGTTTCCCATCATCTTCTTCCCAGGTCTGTCCCTGATTAATAGTCAGAGAAGCAGACTTATGATCAGCACTTTAAAAGAGTCAAGGACATAAAAGTGTCCTCTTCCACTTCTTCTTTACTGTTTAACATTTTAGTGAAACTCAATTACTCCTCCCCTGTCATTCTCTGGGACTGGAGTGTGTTTCTCTTTATTAAAAACCGACTTGTTCCCTCTATCCAGACCAACAGTGACTTTGTTGCTGCTGCAACACGAGGTGCTGTGGCCGTTATTGACGGAAACGTCATGCCGCTAAACCCAGGGGAGTCGCCTCATATGCAGATGTTTGTGTGGAACAACCTCTTCTTCAGCCTGGGCTTTGACATTTCTGAGCACTACCGACCACTGGGGGGCAACACTGCTGCTCACGCTGCTGCCATCTGTGACCTGAGAGGAGCACAGGTACACATCCTGGCTAGTAGTTTTCATTCACTGTCTCATCTGAGCTGTCAAAAGATTGTTCTAGCACAGTATGAATTTGAGTCATTCAGTGAAGGTGTAATTATGTGAATATTAGGGGAATAACAGTCTTCCCTGCTCATGCATGAACTACTTAACCTAATTTAATCTCTTCCCACGCTATCACCACATCCATACAAATGCTTTTATATTCTTGAAGTCAGAATAAAAGCAGTTATGTTGCTCTCCTGCAGGCGTATGCATCTGTCGACATAGAAGGCCTTCACACACTCGGGACAGCAGTGGTAGATTACCGTGGTATTCGTGTTATTGCTCAGACAATCGTCCCTGGGATACTGGAGAAAAACCACGAGCAGAGTATAGTCTATGGCTCTAATGACAATGGAAAAACTGTTTTTTCACACCCAAGGTAACAAACACACTCACATGAAACACTAAAGTTGTATATTTTAGTTTTAAAAAAGTCCAATCCAGATGTGTCCTTATTTTTCCAGCATTACTGCAGCTGACCAGAGGTGTCTTTCACTGCAGGTTTCTGGAGCTTCTGGATAAAACCAGTAAACCACTGAGAGTGCAGCGTCACCAGGTGCTGGACCACAACAACGCCCCACTGGACCTCTGCTCTGGCATGGAGACCATCGGCATCCTGGGTAACGACGGACGAGCTTACATCTTAGATCTCCTGCGGACGTTCCCACCAGATCTCAACTTCCAGTTCTCAGAGAAAGAGGAGATGAGGGAGGATGTGCCAAAGGAGTGTCAGAGCTTTGGTTTTCCTCGGCTGCATCATCACAGCCTGGCCAGCCTGAGACCAGAGCTGATAGAGGCCTTCGTCCAGCACAGGTGAGGAGGAGGAGACACAAATGCAGCCAGCATGTAGCTGTTAAACCAGCAGGATGAACTGAGGTTTGAACGTGAGATATTTTGTTCCTCTTATCTTGTGTTTTGGTCTGCAGGTATCAGATTTTTGTGAAGATGGTGTCCCAGGAGCTCAGTCAACCGGAAGAACAGGAGGAAGCCAAGGAGCACATCAAGGAACCTGTTTGTGAGCTGACAGCTGGAGACAGAGATGCAGTCGGTGCTGACATGGGTGAATAAAAACCAGACAGTCAAAGCAGAATGAGAAAACTTTTTGGTAATCCAGGAGAAACTGGGTTGCTGCAAAGACATCAAGATAAATTAGGATGAGGAACACAAAGTGAGAAGGAAACAATAGATCAGAAATAACCTCATCCAAAGGTCAATTCACTAATTATTCTGGAGCTCTGGATTGAATCTCATGATCTTCATCATTAGATGGAGTTTTCTTAGTTCATGTTAAATTAGAAATGTTTAAATATGTGTCTGAGCACTTTCAGGAAATTCTTAGTGATAGAATAAGACTTAAGAAATTTACAAAAATACTGGACAACTTCGAGGTACTACTGTGTTTCCCTTGAGTGTCTCAACTGCACTGCTACTTAGTACCTTTACTCCACTGCATTTTAATAACAGCTGTAGATATTATTGCAGATTAACATTTCACATACAAAAAGAAAGCTTTTAAGCATTCAAAGGCTTTTCATATGCATGTCATATGCAGCACTGGCAAGTTATCAGTGCCATGACATTATTAATTCACTGTGTCAGCATTTATGCAGACAGACAAATATTAAATATAGAAACAACAGAGCAAAAGGAGTATGTACAAAAAAATGTGTAAAAATGTACATGCAATATTTATGGTGCAAAAGCTGGGAATTGCTGTCATAGATTAGACTAACAATTAAAATTAGCTCTACCTTATGTACCTACTGCACCACTAAAATTCTGTTTTAATGTTTTGGGCTCAACAATAGTGAGCCAGAAATAAAATACATAATAATAAAACTCTGACAGAGTTCACTCTGCTGCATAATCACTGAACTTTTCATGGTTTCAGTACATTTTGCTCAAAACACTACTTGTTTAGAAGTAATATTTGAATGCACTATGTGTTTTTCCTGCTTTTATTTAAGAAGAGTCATTTCTGACCCTGAAAACATTAAGAAAACATTCCTTTAATGTAGCTGTAAATGAACATTAAGCCCAGAACGGTAAACACACTAAAAAGATTTTTATCTTAGATGCTGGTAACTTGAAATAATTACTATTGTAAACATGATACATTCACATTACACAGAATAGATCTGAAAAAATTGCAATTATTCATTATTAACTACTGACTGAAGACAAGGAGAGTGGTGGGGACTGACTGATGGTGATCATGTCAGCTAATAACGCATTCATGTTTTGCTTTTGTAGAATCCCAGAAAAGGAGTGTGATCCTGAAAGCCTGTAAAGCTGTTGGATCAGCAAGCGACTGTTGCTTTGACATCCGCTTCAATCGAAACATTTGCTCTCCGGGTACTGAATACATTTGTGCTCACACAGCCAAGTACATATATACTGCGTAAGGTATTTTACAAATATCAGACTGAAGTTACACTGTGTGTCTCTGCTGCAGGTGTTCGTTTCTCTTCTGAGTGTGTCGAGGAGGTTCAGAGGCAGAGACGGTTGTTGTGGGACGCGGCTGCTTTTCTGCTTTCTAACCAGATTCCAGCTGTGGTGAGTCGTGTGTGAAATAATTATCATGTTTATCATGTGTGCGGAGTTTAAGTTGATGTGTGTGTTTGTGTTGGTGTGGAAGCTGAGAGACTGTCTGGACCACACAGCAGTGCCGATGGATGGAGCCACTCTGACTTCAGTGCTGCACCAGCGAGGTGTGAATGTACGATATCTGGGCACATTACTAAGGGAGCTGGACAAGCTGGAGGAGAGGGAGAGACTCAGCCACATACAGGTACTAAAAACAACTAATATTAACCACATGAATGTAAAGTCAGCATAGCAAGTCATCTCACATACTTATAAATGTGGCCTGACACAGTCTGTGAAGCTGATGGGACTTAAAGAATACTTTATGCCTCTTCTTCTTCTTCTTCTTCTTCTTCTGGATTAACAGGGTTGTCAATACTAAACATAAATATTTATTGTGCAGACCAGTCAGGAATGAATATGTATATCCTGTAATATCACAGGAACACAAAACTGTGAGTTGTTTTGAAGTGAAGTCAGCAGCATGAGAGTTGAAAATGTCTCCCCAATCAAGCACTCAATCAAGCATTAGACACCTTCAAGTGTTGGTTTATGTGTTTGTCAACAATTTGTTATGATTATATTTCCTAGTTATTTATATTTTTCCCGTGAAGCATCTGTAACGAGTTTGTAATTAGTTGATAAACACAGTATAACATATTAGTATAGTATAGTATAGTATAGTATAGTATAGTATAGTATAGTATAGTATAGTATAGTATAGTATAGTATAGTATTATACAGCATATTTAGTGATATTTGATAAATGCACAAACCCAAACATAATAAATTCCCAGGTGGATTTAAACAGTTTATGACTGTGATTGATACTCTTGAAGGCATGTTTTAATTAATAAATATATTAAACAAATAATTACCAGATTAGTTAATCTAGAATATACATTAATATGTTGTATGACTGTAACTGTGTTTTATTCCTTTGTCAGTCACTCATGAACTGTTGCACAGGACTTTATTCTTAAAAATATTAACAAAAACTTTTCCTGTGACACCAAAGAGCAGGTCATCCAGCCACCGCTAAAACATGACACGTCTAGGAGTAAAATCCTATTAAAATGTTAAATATCAACACATTCTTTTACTCCACTTCAATGCAATTTACTGATTGTGATCAGAAATTCATTTTCACCATGGTGATGTATAAATTTCTGTGCATGTATAATTCATCAGTGTGATAATGTATGACAGATCTGCCCAGAATCCATGCAGGCCTAATGAGATGAACTGGGATTAGCTTTTCAAAGACTGCAATGAATATATCCACTGCACACTGACACAGTTCGAGACTGATTCCTACTGTGGAGTATTAATATATTTTAGTCTTTTACACCAGATTACACAGAAAACTAGTGGTCATTATGTAGAAGATAGTCATGGCCAAGAACTCAGCATAAATCTTAAACCTTGAGCATGTGGGCTTAGCAGGTCAAAGATATCACTTGAAGTTAATCCATTTGGTGTTTTGTAGGTGATGGTTGGATTCTGAACTGTATTATGGAGGTTAAAACTGATATTTTCTCTTTTCTTGGTACTTGTTAAGAGGCAAGCAGCTGCTTACAGAGAATCTATAGTAATCCAGACAGGATGAAACGAAGATGTCAGAAACTTTCTTGCCGCACAGAAATTATTTTAGAGGCTTTACAGTCAGCTTTAGTTTTAGATCCAAATAAAAAAATAACTCTAGAATTTCTGACAGACCACTTGATATTGGTAGGCATTATGTTTTCCATTAATTTTGACTGTTTGGCTTGTTGAAGGAAACAGAAGGGTTTCTGTCTTACTACTGTTAAGCTGTAGAAGGTTACAAAACACCGAAAACCTTATATCAAGATACCAGCCAAACTACAAGAATCATAAGATATGAATCTGTTTCATCTGCATTAAAAACAAACAGCATGCAGCGTATGACAATTATGGAACCATATTGCTTGTAAACAACAAAGCAAGATATAACAAGAACAAAAAAGAAGACTAAGGCCTGCTATTTCACTTTTAAATCCGTCTTAGATTTAAATACAAAGAGTTTTTTTTCCTATAAAAATTGTTCTAAAGTTATCTCTTATCATTACCTTGCTCAATAGCAGAAGAAAATAAAACTTTATTTTCCACCAGAGTGGAAAATGTTCCTTTCTGACCAAAACCTAAAAGTAGCAAAGATCATGTAACATTATAAACAAATGCTGTTAAAACAAAAACAAAAACCCGAAAGCTCTGAAATAAAGAACATATCACTATAAACACTGTATGATGAACTAGTAAAAATACAAATAAATGTGCTTGTTTAAAATGACGGATCATTGATCATGTTTTCCCCCACAGAGAATTTCCATCAGTGAAGTCATCATCAGAAGTGCCAAACACATCTTCAGGACCTATCTACAGGTGCTCAAATACTGTAAAATATTAAAACATAACACTTTCCCATAATTTTTCACGATTCCTAATATTCATATATATGTCTTATTTTTCCCCCAGAATGTGGAACCTGCAGCTTTCTCTGCAGCTGTCAGTCACTTCCTGAACTGCCTCCTGAGTTCGTCCTCCAATTTTCCTGACTCCTGCTCGGATGAGCTGCTTTCTCGCCGCAGGAGCCGCCGCCGCCGCAGCCACGGGAGTCGAGTCACCTCGCTGACAGACAGCGTTTGGGCTCGGCTGACTTCTACTGAGCTGTGGGGCAAGATCAGGGCTGAGGCTCAGGATTATTACCATCACACAATTGACAGGTGTGTGTGTGTGTGTGTGTGTGTGTGTGTGTATCTTTGTGTGCATGTATGGGTTCCTGGATTCATGCAGCAGGATTTTACATCGTCATGTTCTCTGTGTTCAGTGAAAGTATAGATGCAGTGATAGAAAAGCACAACCTTCAGAGGCTCTCCCTGCTGAGAGAGATGGCCATCAAGACAGGCATCCAGGTCAGACATCTCCCAAGCTTCTCATCAACCTCTGAAATTAAATTAATTCTGTCTATCTTGACACTGCTCTAAGCAAGAAATCTTGGCGAAATCACAACTTTTGCATCATTAAAAATCATATCTGGGGCTGCCTGTGCGTATTCCCCTAAATACTATTTTATTTCATGTCTGAGGCAGGTACGTTTCTTATCTCAAATTAAGTAAGAAATAAAAAGAAAGAAACAGATACAAAATTCTCCTTCAATAGTCCCCTGATGAAAATGGTTGAACCTACTGCAAAAACAGTTTTCTCCATCATTTCACACATTGCAGAAGCCAAGACGAGAAGGAATCTTTTCAAGTCACACTTCTATCATGTAAATCTCACACAGGGATAAAAGTAAGCTCATATTTAATACTTAATATAACAGTTCTGCATCCATATCTGTCAAACTTATATTTATCAAACAAGCAGCAAAGCATACAGTTTTAAGAATAATTCTTTAGTCATTGCTTGATTGATGTTTATTTTGCAATTTGATTTTTCTTTTATTTATGTGTAACCTTTAAATCTCCATTAAAAATGTTGTTTAATATATTTATAATGTATAAGACACGAGTAAAATAATGGTCGGTAAATGAGATGCATCAGAAAAATCATATAACGTGAATAATTTAGTGCCACGCAGTGCAGACAGTGAGGATGCTCAGACAGTGATTGCAGTTTCAAACAATATCAGATTTATTCTTGTTCCCATTCCACCTCTGGTAATTGGCCAAGGGGATCAAATGTTAAAATTCAAATGACTAACGCTAGTAGAAACAATTCCACCCTGTCCAACTAGTTATACTGTGACAATGGCACAACTGCTTTATGCTAAGTCTGCCTCATGTCGTTGTTCATTTTGACTCTGATGAAGATACAGTAATGTTGAAATGTTAAAACGACTCTGGTCTTATAAAGCTTTTCTGCTTCAGCTCATGTATTATCATGACCCTGACAAGAAGTTTAATATTGTTTACTGATATGTTTGTGAGTAGTAGTGAAAATTAAGGATTTTTACTTTAATATTTCACTTGAGGACACTTTTTTCCCCCTCATAGCAGTTTTATTTAACTACAGCTACACAGCTACATAAAAATATGCTTCAGGATATTTTGGTGGCTGAAGTCCATCGAACCTTTAAAAGCTAAAACTGTCTACAACAGTGACGCGAGAAAGCCAAAGTGCAGAGTTTTGTTGCACAGCTTTAAAATGCAGCTGCTCCCCTCCTTTTTTTTTCTCTGTTTAGGTGCAGTTGAGGGAGTATGTGTTTGAGTCTCGTCACAGGCCAGTGTTTGGTGAGGAAGACGTCATCAACATGTTCCCTGTGGTCAAACATCTTGAACTTACATCACCAGATGCCACACGGCTCGTGCAGCAAGCGCAGCTGGCAGTGCAGCAGGGTGAGAGACACAAATACAAACACTTGTAACGGTTTTAAATAAGGTGTATATGTTTACATTTAGGGCTGCAGGGTGGTGCAGTTGGCTAGTTGTGTTGCCTCGCAGCAAGAAGGTCGCTGGTTGGCGTCCCAGTGGGGGCACCGGGATCTTTCTGTGTGGAGTTTGCATGTTCTCCCTGTGCAGCGTGGGTTCTCTCCGGGTTCTCCGGCTTCCTTCCACAAGGTCCAAAAATTGGTGATTCTAAATTGTCCGTAGGTGTGAATGTGAGTGTGCTTGGTTGTCTGTCTCTAAGTGTAGCCCTGCGATAGACTGGCGACCTGTCCAGGGTGTACCCACTTGGCAAAAATGTAGAGCTAAAAAGGTCACGCATCTAATAGCACTGTCATATTTTTGATGTACCATGCAAACTTAACAATATGCAAGTGGGTTCAGGACAGTGTTGCTAGGCAACAACAGCATAAATGGATATTGTATTGTTCCCAACTATGAGTCATTTGGTGTTTTTGCATTTTAATATTATGTTTCGAGATAAACTTGTTTTTGTTTTTTTTGTTTTTTTTTTAAGTAACTTCCTTAAATGTGAAGGAAGTTGAAACAAACAGTACTCACATGCACATTTAAAAAGCTTTTGTTCTCTGTAATTGTTCCTTCTATCCATAAAGGCCACAATGACATCTTCTTATCAAGCTTTTTAACGTCAGTGATGCAGAATAACCTCCTCAGTTCTTGTTCTGTTTAAAAAGACAGTTCATCCTGAGGCTTACAGTTGTCAGAGTCAGAAAAATCAAGCAGATGTCTTTCATTTGTTGCAGTCCTTGAAGCACAAACTGGAGATTTTGCACTGAAAAGGCTAAAACTTTGGAAGATGCCAGCGGCCGTAGACAATATTAGTTTCAAGTGCACAGTAGTTTTGCAGACGAGGAAGGTCTGTCAATGTTGTTTCCCATCACTTATATTTAAATTGTTTCAAGAAGGCATCTCTTTGTTTCTCAGAGGGAACAATTAACCTCTGAATCAGACCTTTTAATCTACATATGGAGAAGTGCATTTAGTATTATGACACTGATAAGTATGACCCTATGCCAAACATGTACGTTTGTAAATTGAGTGGACTCTTCTCATGCTCACAGTAAACATGTACCACACAAGTCATCATGATTTTATGTGAACTGTCCACGCTGTCACTCAGTGTAGATACGCAAGAAGTTAGTATCAACACTGTTGCATTTAACCCAATGTATGACATGCAGCCACTAACAATTACAGATCCTGACAACACGTTCATGATTTGTGTTCTATGTTTGCTTTTAGGGCTTCTCAAAGATGGCTATGAATTGATTAGCCAGGCCCTGACTCTGTTCAGCAGCATATGTGGGGTCCTGTACGAGGATGTGTGCATGTGCCTGCGTCTCCTGGGACGGCTCAGCTACATTCTGGGGGAAAATGCAGATGTAAATATGCATCACAATTCATTTCTGCCATGAAATTTTACTCATTTTTGACCTGGCTTCACACTTCTAAACTGTCACCCACATCTCAGATTTTGCTACTTAATGCATGTTCTGAACTGCATTATAATGCAGACATCATAACATAATGTTTCTGTTATTTTGTCCATGTATCACAGGCCCTCAGCCACCAGGAAAAGGCAGTTATGAGCACTGAGAGGATACAAGGCATCGACCATCCACAGACTATACAAGACTACGTGAGTTCCTTTACTTAATCAGTCTACACACAAATTACTGGACCATGCCACGTTAATTCTATTGTTTAACATCCTACTTACATTTATTAATTAAATCATTTGTTTGTACCTCAATGTGTAAGTGTTCCCCTATGTGTGATTCAGACTTATCTGGCTCTGTACTGCTTTGCTGGAGGCCAGCACTCGACCTCCCTGCAGCTGCTGTATCGTGCTCGGTACCTCACCCTGCTGGTCAGTGGAGACGACCATCCACAAGTCGCACTGCTGGATGTAAGAGCACCTGCAAAGTGTTGCTTTTGCTCTTTCTACTGTATTTAGCAATGATCAAAACTCTTGCTAGATCATAGAAAAACCCTGAGAAACCCTGTTGGTGTTTTATTTACTAGTCCTCATTTTTATTTGTGCTAAAAGACAAAGTTCGATCTTGATCTTGTACTGCATATCATCTGTTAATACTCCTGTTGTGCTCCACTATATTAGAGCATGCTGGGTCTGGTTCTTCATGGATTAATGGAATATGAGCTTTCCCTGAAGTTCCTACAGAATGCCTTAATTTTAACCTCAAAATACCACGGTGCCACATCCCTGAAGCATGCACACAGGTACGTAAGACAGATCATGTTAATCTGCTTTCTTACATTATTGTTATCAGAGTCAGGCAAGTAGACAATCTGAGAAAAAAGGTTGCTGCCATCTTCCTACTCATGCATTACTCTCTTCTTTCATAACTATAACCCGCCATGTCTGTCCTCTGTGCAGTCATCATCTGCTCGCCACTGTGTACGAGAGCAAAGGAGAGTTTCGGTCAGCTCTGCAACACGAGAAAGAGGCTTATTCAATCTATAAGAGCCAGGTGAGTTTTGAAGTGCTGGAGTGACACGTAGCTGCTCTATGTTTACACTATAACGCTCACAATTTTAACTGACAGACTTCATTGTTACACACATGAAGGTTGGCGAGAACCATGACAATACGAAGGAAAGCTCGGAGTACCTGAAGAGCCTCACTCAGCAGGCTGTGATCCTTCAGAAAGCCATCAACCATATCTACAGTAACACACCCAGTGCCTGTACCCCACCTCCAAAGGTCTGTACAGTTTTGTAAGCATGTGAACAAATGCATGCGAGCAAGTATGTAATCTCTTGTAAGCTCACATGTATGCACTTGTGTTTTTCTCGGCAGTTTTCCACGCCAAGCCTTCCCACAATCCTTCAGCAGCTCAACCTGACATGTGGAATTATTCTCATCCCCCTCAGGTGAATACTAAACCAGTTACAGAATTTAAAAGCAGTTGATAGTTTTTGTGGTAAAGAAGGAATATGCCCTACTTTATGTATTGTGTCTTCCTTTCTAGTGCAAAAGAAATTGCAGACCTGAGGACTGCGTTAAAAGAAAAGGAAAAAGTTCAAGTGGAGGAGCTGGAAAATCAATTATTAAAGTAAAAAGGCTTGAGAACTGCCGACAATGGACAACAGTACTGAACAATGGACTGAAGGGACAGCTGGACATCTGAGTATTCTGTGAAAATGACCATGGACAATGTTCAACAATGGCAAATGAAAGCCAGGCAAATCGCTGAATATGTAGGGTACCAGGCGCAGCCGTTCCCTTTTTATAAAACAAGTTTGTTCTGCTGCTGGACACTGAAAAGAGCCTTATCTACACCGTGATATAGCTTTTGCTGCAATACACATGATTCATGAATGAACTCTGAGGGCAGTAACTTTGATGGTAAATATGTATAACTTTCCTTTTTGTCAGAAAAATGCATTATTGCTAAATAGAATTTAAGGATTGTACTGCTCGGTGAAAGGACCAAGCACAGTATGTGTCAGACTGCTTATGTGTACTGAGAAAAAAATATAGCATCAATGTGCTGCAAGTCCAAATTTCTAGGATTTTTAAATGATACACTATCATCTTGCAATTCCCTGTGTGTCCACTGGGTTTCACACTTGTGCCATGAACATTTCTCAGGGCAGGATAGATGATTTATCGCTGCCTGAATATTAAAACAAGTTCTGTTTTGAATGTGTACAAACAGCCAGTTATAATTTAATGTTGTCATCATTAGCCAGGTGACTGTACAGAATTGGTATGCATATAATGTGTTCATTCTCCAAGAGGAAGTCAGATTAGTTGTATCTAAATGACTCCCTGAGATGAAAATGTGAACAATAAATGTTGAATTTGTATTGGTATTAAGTGACATTATGCACAGTTGTTCCACTGGCAGCAAATTATTGAATGACTGCAAGATTAGTGAATTTCATGAGATATTACCTCAAATAACCACTGTTTCCATATATAGCTTACAGCTGTGAATTTAAAATGTGCCAATATAGTAAATGTGATAGCATTACAGGCTATTTTATAGCTGAGTTTTTTTTTTAATTATTATTATTATAATTATTGTTTTTTTTTAGTCACCATCTATAGAGCAGCCGCATGATTTGTCCTCTTGTCTTCGAGCTGCTCACTTGTATACAATTCACATTGTCCAAATCAAAACGTGGCTGTACTGAATAATAAAAATACCGTGAGTAACTTTTGGTGTATTTTTCCTTTAATTACTAAAGCGTCAGCCGTGCACGCTGCGCGCCACCGCTCGTCTCGACGTGCGCGCTGCCGATATCCAATCGCGACCGTTAGCTGGGGCCGGGCGATGCGGTGGTACCAAGAGGAGAAAAATCTGACCGTCCGTGCCGGGTGATGTGAAAAGTCACAATACCACATCAAAACCAGGCTATCCCGTCACATGTTTAGACCGCTCAAGGAGATATGAGAATCGCTATTTGTCAAACGGTAAGTTAATAGTTTATACGTGCGTCTGTGTTTTTGTTTTGACACTTAGAAAGACTTGTTATTTTGACGACGAATTGCCTGCAGTGTCTGCGCTTTCCCGTCTCGATCTCAAAATGGCGGAGAGGCCGAAAGCTAAGCTAAGTGGCAAAGTTGGCGTTCACAAGAGCATCGACTTAGACACCGGACGTTATGGTAGTCTCACGGTGATATTAATCAATTTAACTCAACGTGATTGTGATTTTCAAACCGTTTCTGCTCTTCTCGGTCAGCGCAGGACTTGTACGGAGGTAGTTGTTGTGAAGCCTAGCAGGACATTTGGCTAACGTTAGCTACGCCTATTTATGGAAGTTCAGTAGGGATGAGCTAACGTGGTATGTTAGCCGGCTAAGCTAAGTTAGGTGCTGTCTGCCTGCTGCCATATTTTTCACAGCCCGGTGCAAGTGTTCTGATGTTGCTACAAAATGCACAAATCAAATTTTACATTTGAATCGTTGGACTTGGTTGTTCTGGATACTTTATAATTTGTATGAATAAGGTTGTATTGCAACGATCAAACCAGTGTTGTCTTGTACTGGGAACATCCCCACAACGTTAATAAAACTTGGGTTACCTATCCCATTCGCATGTACATTTAACAGGTAAATACCATTTTATTTTCAACAAGGTGCTATCTCATTTAACTCCTTTCTGGTGTAGACAAACGCCCTTGTTTGTTTTGACATGGTGATTGTGTGATTGTATAAATATAGTGGGCTCGAACTGACAGCTCCAGTTAACGTTATCTTGCTAAGCTAACGTTAGCTGGAAAGGGCGTTGCTGAGCCATTGCTGCAACTTTGCCCTTGTGGCCATAGAGGCTTAGATAGACGTCACCCGAGCCACATTTTGAACTGAGATATGTTCTCTAAAAAATAAAGCTGTCTTTAGGTAGCTGGGTTGTTTTCGTACATACTGCAATTCAGGTTCTGGGATTTGCAATCAGGGTGGAGACTAAGGATCGCTGCAAAATATTGACAATGAACAAGGCTGTGCAGATTTCACTTGAGATGCACAGAACTGTCTGAAGTGAACAGAATTTTGCTAATTGGCAGCCTAGTAATCGCCAAGCAGCTAATATTACACAGCAGTAAATGTGAAGGCCCATGTCTGTAAAATTGGCTGCCAACCTTTCAGGGTGTAAAGATATTTCATATGCCCAATTTACTCCAGCATCTCAATGTTTTCAAATGCAATAAGTTGGTGTTGTTGAAAGTGCATTTTAAGTCTGCTATATTTTCACGTCTTCCTACTTATCTGTTTCTCCCCCATTTGAGAATAACTGTACTTATTAAAGTATGTTCTAAATTAAGGGATATATATGGTAAAGATGTATGGTAATTTGTGCTGAGATTCTGTCACAGATCTTTTTCATTCTCTGTCACATTTAAATCCTAACCGCTGGCACTGATAACACTTGAATTAAGATTTATATAAAGTCTGAGTAACTTTTAAACTAAGTTTTTTAATTCATGTCACAAATTTACATCTTAGGAGACGGCATTGATTAGGAAATATATAACAGAATATTATAGACCAGTTAAGTGAAACAATCTGGTTTGTCATGATGTTTGATTTGTATGCAAACATTGCCTAGTGGCTTACTTTGTGCTAGCAGGGACTTGTTTGGCCTGAAGGTCACCCATAAGGAGGGGCATTGCTTTGCAGCTTGACACAAACAGAGCATGGTGACTGAAAGGGTGATATGTAATGATTTTGAAAGGTTCATTGTCCTGTTGTCTTCTCTGGATTACAGTGATTATCGCTTCTTAATTCAGTGATATTGTTTTGCCTTGATGATCTGTTCATAAAAGTGAGTCAGGACATGTCTACCCTAAGGCTCTACCTGTAATCATGATGTCAAAACGGTAGTTCCACCCAACAGCTGAAACTATTGTTTAGATTACCAGCATATATTGAATTGTTTATTGATCTTCAAGCAAGTAAAGTGAGACAAGCCCAATGAGAAATTAGTTGATTAATCGATTGTGTAAGTCTATTATCAACTAAGAATGACAATTCTTCTCTTGTTGCATCTTCTTTCGTGTGAGAATTTGCTCCTTTTCCCTGTTTTACAATGTATCATTGCAAATTTTATGTTAGGGATTTGGACTGCTAATGAAGACAATAACACAAGGAAATTTGAAGAATTTGCCAGGGCTTCTTGGAAACTGGAATGGACATTTTGAAAATTTAAAGGTGACTTGAGATTGAACGTGATCGTTAGTTTTTATGGATTTAGTATCCATTTTATATTACCATAGCCTAAAATGACCACTTGAGCAGTTAAAGCACCCAAGCAGGTATTCAGTATAACATGACATGAAAATTCAAAAACAGATTTTCATAGTCCACTGTCATGATCAAAAATCCATGGGGAGAGCATGGAAGATGCAGTCAAATTGTCTTCATGTTGTTTAATGATCGCATCAATACATTTGCAAATGAATATCAACATAGTTTTAGAGAATCATGCATTTCTATGAGGTTCATTTTGAGAGTGAGGCCAAATCTGTGCCACACCTGTACATGTTGCTTGTTTAACTGAGCATGACTCTGTGTTTGAGTCAGAAAGACAAGATGAGGCATTGATGACGTCATAGTCTGTTATTGTAGCATAATGGGAGCTAAGTCAAGTCATCTGTTCACATTTTTACATTTCGTGGAAGGAATATGGTGTAGTAACATTTTGTAGCTCTTTAAAGAGCAGGAAGGGCACAAACTTGTTACGGTTGTGTTGTGTTTATGAGTGGTTGCAGAGAGATTGGAGGCTGCTCTGTCTCAATTTTCCTCACTGGCAGCCAAATTAAATCTTGTCATTGTAATGTGTATGGTCTCAGTAACCACCACATGCATGTAGCTTACGGCAGGGTGATATGGCCAAAAAATTTATCACGATATAAATGAAAAAATTTTCCGATAACGATATAACTGACGATATAATTGATGCTAGACAAAATACTTCAAAACTGCACAACTTTTTTGATGCAAATCAAAAAGAAGAACAATTTCTTTTCCATTTAGCAAGCAACTGTTTTTGATGTGCATTAAAGCTATATTGTACCAAAATCAATAGTGCATAAGTTGTAAATTGTTTGCTGACAATTTGTTTATTCATAAGGCATTTCAAATGGAAATGGGCTTACAAATCCTGAGCATAACAATGCATAGTATCCACAAAAGTAAAGTAGAGTTGCTTTGCAACATAAAACTTTGCAGCCAGGTTCTTTGGTCTCATCACCACGTCAGCTGAGGGGGTGTATAGCGTGGGTGAATATTCGGACTGACGGGGTGGAAGTGGGCGGGACGCACAGGCAGTACTTGACTGCTAATGCCAGTTTAGGATAGCGGTCACAGTTCTGTTGCCACCATTGGGTGGTTGCGGCGGCAGCGGGGGGAGAGGGTAGCGGCGGGTGGCGGGGAATATTCGGATCTCAAAATTGCTATGTCGACACCACCACAATGACTGAATGTTCTGATATACACTGCATTTGCCCTCCTCCTTGTGCGCTGTCATGCTTCTCGCTTCATGTGCATTTGACAGGACAAAAACAATGACACTGTGCATGAGTGTTTCATTCAAATTTTATCACGATATTTCA